CATTCCTTTTGGTATTGAAAGTTTTCTTTAAAATTTTTTAATTCTTTTAGTTATAATTTAAAAAAACTTTTCATTTGGAGATGCCAATTTATAACGAAAAAAATCATTAGCAACCAATTTTATTGCCTTTTCTGGAGTTATCAACAAAATATTTACACTGGAGCCAGAATATAATGAACGAATTTTGCTTAAAAAATAAATTTTTAGCAAATTTCTAGGCTACTTAAAAATAGTTTAGGTTGCCTAAAAATGTAAAACACATCTAGCAAGAAGAAAAAGAATTTCGGATTAAAGAGGAAACCCCCCTACTCAAGTGAATCGAACCCTCAATAATAAAAACATAAGGAAAATGATAACCAACAAAATAATTTCCGTTAGGTAAATTCTTAAAAGTTATTTAAAAAACCAGACCCATCTAGCAACAAAAAAATTTTAAAAAAATTCCAAGGAAAACCCACAACTCAAAGGAATCGAACCTAAGAGAATAAACAAACTAGATCACCAGCCCAAAACCACTTAACCCACAAAAATCAATAAAAAACCTGTAAACATTAGGCCCCCCATTCTTCCATGTTTGACGTCCACAATCCAAACTTTAATTTAAAAAAATTTCTTAAAAAAATTAAATTTTTCTTCCTTACATTCCTTGATATTGAACCTTTCCATTAGGCAATTCTTTTTGATTTTGTAAACGTGTTTTGACCAAATCTATAGGAAATACACAAGTTACACCAACAATTCCTGCAATTCCTCCATTTATGATTTTTGGTAAATAACTAAAAAAAAGATTTTCTACAGATTTTTGAATTTTAAAAATAAAACCTAAATTGTTTCTGTTTTTGTTCACCAAGTTGAGCAGCCGAAACTGTTATTGACATTCTCTCTCCTACTTAAAAATCATTTTAATCAAAATTAACCTTTCAAAGTCTATAAAATAAAGATATTCTTTAGAAAAATCAACTAGAAAATTTACAAAATAGTATCAGTGATAATAGTGAATTTTTATCACAAAGAAATCAGAACAAACAAAGAAAATAATTTAGAAAAAAATCTGAAAACAAAAAAAGACCCGTTAGAGAGAATGCGTAACAGAATTATTTCGAGAGAATTTTAGAAAGAATTTCTGAAGAAGCACCATAAAAAAATAACAATTTTTGAATCTGACAATAATATTAAATCTTTCAACTCAGAAAAATAAAGTTAGCCTTTAAAGAATCTAAATTTTCAAAAAAAAATTTCATTTTTTGAGTTAAAGGCTAGAAGAAAAATCAGTAGAAAAAATAAACAAAAAAATTTTGCCTTGAATTTAAAAAAATATTATGAAGGAAAAATAATAGCAAAATAGGAAATAATTAATTGAAATAATATTTTTTTAATAAAAAGAAATTTCAAAAAAAAACAACTAAAAATGTAGCAGAGTAACCATTTTAGAGACTGTTGCTTCCAAAAATCTTGAAGTTGCAAAAATACCTCCAACAATAGAACAAATACGTAAAGATAATTGTAATAAGGACCTTAAGAATTGAAAAAAAATTTAGAAAAATTAAAGACAAAACAAACATGGAAACAGGATGTACTTCAATTGCTGTAGCAACAAATTCATAATCAAAAATTATTGAATCGTGAACATGTTCATCACCTTCAGCTTCGTGTTTCTTTAAAATTTAAATTAAAATATTAAAAAAAAACAAGTCTAATAAAAACCGAATAAGTAACTGCATATTGATATGTACTCAAATAATTTTGACCAAATAAAAGTCCTTTACTGTAAATACGAGTTGGAACAACTAAAAAATAAAAATTTTAAATTATATGACAATGTAATAACAAAAAAGCCGAAATACCAAACCTCCAAAAGTCAATCAGAAATACCAAAACGCGGATTGATAACAACCTTTAAACTGAATGGAATACCTATATGAGTTTGTATTTACCCAAATTCGGCATTTCCCACGTTTTCGGGAGTTTGGTATTTCGACGTCTGGTATCATGGCTCCCCCGAAAATAAATAAAAAATAAAAAAGGAAACCTTTAATAAAATATTTGTAGACTGTACTGGCTGAAAAAAGAAAATCAAAAAGTAGAAAAAGCAAGAAAACAAACGTTTGGAAGCATATTGTTCATTTCCAGCCAACGGAGAAACTAAACCCCAAATATGTGGACCAAAATGAAATTTTTCTATTCTGTGAGAAATATTTCCATCTTTAAAAATGCACAGTTAAAAATAATTTAAAAAGAAAAGAAAAAACGTTGATTAGGCCCAAGATGTTGAATCATATTTCCAATAGGCAAAGATTTCCCAATTGTAATTGTCAAACGATGACCACTTCCTTTGAGGACTGGAACTTTACCACTAATTCGGCAAGCACTTCCCTCTTCAAGTTCATCACTTCCACCTATTAAAAATCAAATAAGATTGGGTAATATTTTGAAATTAAGTGAGAGATAAATGTTAAGCCTCGACCAGGCACCTCTTAAAAGTGAAGCTAGGACAAAGGTGCTCTACAGACTGAGCTACCAGGGTGCTGCTTAAACTTTTCTTTAAGTAAATCTTAAACCACAACCTAGTAAGCTTTTAAATGCTAGACAGCCGATTTCCCTTCTTACTTATAATTCCAAAGACTGACACAATAAAATTAAATATACCTCGTTCACTACCAGCAGCAATAATTTGAAAAACGCCCAATCCAGTTCCAATCATCATAATAATATGTTCTTCATGAAAACCTTCATCATCATCTCCTTTCTTTTCTTTTAATTTGGCTCGTTGCTGTTCCAATTCTAAACGTTCTAACCGCTCCTTTTCTTCTTCTGCCAATTCTAAGCCCTCCTCAATATGACTGCCAACATATTTTACCTTAAAAATTTAAAGTGATTGAAAGATTCAATTTTTGATAAAAACCTGATCAAGTCCCTTCAACGGAGTTCCTGGTTTAAAATGTTCACGATGGACACGTTTTAATGCTTCCCATAATTTTTCTTCTTCTTCATTCATTTCATACCTAATTTTTAGATTTAGAAAGTTTTAGAAATTATGTCACATGTCCCACACTCCGATTCGGACACACAATGTCATTTGAAAGAGTTAATTAATGGAATCAAAATTAAGGTTGAGTTTCAATTGTAAGCCAAGTTAACAATAAGCTAGTCACGCTCTTTCGGATAACACATTGTTTATCCGAATTGGAGGACCGCCCACAGCCAGGATTTTTCATGAGGGTTTTTAATTCTTTCCAATCCTCCTAGTTACAAGTCTAAACATTTGACGCAATTTTTAAAAAATATTAAAATATTTAAAACACAAAAAACCTTGTTGGAGTTTTCTTTATATGCGTTCCATCTTTTGTCGGCTCTACTGAATCAACACCCATCGGCATAACTGCCAAATTATTGCATGGTGAAGCAACAATCATATCAATTTCTAACATTGGATTTCTTTAAAAAACAAAATTTTAGCTTCGAAAAATAAAAACTTCTCACGTTTCATCAGTATCAACAGAAAATCGATATTCAACTTCATCATTGGTAAAATAATTGTGAATTTCTCCAATAAATAGAACAAAAATTAAAGTAAAGCTGAGGACAGTCACTGAAAAATAAATTAAAAATCAATATAAATTCAACTAAAAAATCCTCTCACAAATTCCATTAACAGCTTTTGGTTCTTCTTTAACATCATCTGTTACTTTAACAAAAGCATCAACTTCTTGGACCATTTCTCGAACACTTCCAATTCGTCTTTGCCGAATAGCTTGGCCATTAGGTAATTCCATTAAATAAAACAATAAATAGACTAAAAGCTAATCTAAAAACTTAATTAATCAAAAAAATTTGCCACAAAATATAATTAGAATTTTTTGTAATGTTGGTCATTTGTAGTGCACAACAAAACTTTAACTGTCTGACACAACATATTTTACATAATCTTTTTCTCTAATTAACAGTAAGAGATGTTCAGACAAAACGGTACATTACAAATTGGCAACAAAGAGACATGTTGACAAAATGGTACAAGAATATTTGACCGTTTTACAAAAGTTTGCCTATGTACCATTTTGTCGCGTACTGTTTTTGTAACAGACCCTTTTCATGCATTCCATTTTGTCGATTAACATAATGAAGTAGCGTTAAAAATTAATTCAAATTTTCAAGTCTTTTAAGAAAACCACTAGAGTAAAAAAATTTAAAAATAAACGTCAATTAATTTATAAAGTAAATTGTTAAAAAAATATACAAATTTTTAATAAAATCGATTCTCTTTTAAAATTTTCTTATAATATTTATAAGAATTAAAATATAGCATAAGTGAGTAAAATTCATTAAACAAAATAAATTTAAAATATATTTAAGTAAATAAAATAACATTTTAAAAAAATCGGGCAAGGCTAAAAATAAATTTTTATTTTTTTTAATTAATAAAAGAAGAGAGGAAATTTGAATATTTTTGTCAAAAATTATAGACCTTGTGTTTAAAAAATAATAATTTTTTAATTTATAAAAAGGTCTCTCTCAAAGCCCTGAAAAAAAAATAGATAAGTAATATAAAAATTGAGGTCAAAGCCACTTTAGAAAATAAGTAATTAATGTTGTAACTAAATTTTCAAATTTTCTGTTAGTAGACATTTTTAACTTTTTTTTCCATTTCAGTTACAACATTTAGAAGAAATGTGTGAATATTTTTAATTTGTATATTTTTAAAAAAATAGCGAGAAGATACACCTTAATTTAGATCCAATTTAAATCCAAATTTTAGAAAAGAATTCTTCATTACCCAAGAAAAAAATCTCATAAATGATCTAAATTAAGGAACCAATTAAAAAAGGAATGGGAAAGTCAAAAAAATGGAATTTTTGAAAAAAAATTGAAAGGTATCTCAAAATAATAATTATTTAAAAAAGTATAAATTTAAATATAAACTTTGATTTTTTCAAGTTGAAGACCAAATATCAACATCATCTCTCCCTTTAATTTTTTATAACCACCAATTTTTAATTTAATAATTAGGCAGCAGAACCACCACCAACAACACCACTAGCTTCAGAATTATTCAACAACCTTTATTAAAAAAATAAACTTTTTATCATTTAAAAAATAGGATAGCTTGCCCGGCTCACGAAACCCCGACGATTTTTCTTTGGCAAGAAACCCCGACCCGAAGACTCTACCACAAAAAATCCCAAAAGGATATCGAATTGCTATCCAATTAAAAAAAATTTTTTTTTAAGAAAAACCTTTTAGTTTTAGCACGTCTATTTTTAAACCAAATTTTTACATTATGTGTAGAAACTGGTGGATAATTTTGTCGATAAGTCATTGAATTTAAATAGTCAGTGTACTAAAAGAAAATTAAAAAATAAAAATTAAAAAAATTAAAAAAAAATAAAAACCTGTTCAATTTGTAACCATCCTGGATGTGGATTATCATCAAACCAGCGTTCAAGAATTGGCTTTAAAAAATTAAATTTTTTTAATAAAATTATTATCTGGACAGTGTAAAGGACCCAATTTCCCTACTTTAATTTTTCCTCTCATTTCTTAAATTTTTGGAGGAAACCCCAAAATCTTGTTCACCCATTATGTAACAAAAAAGTAAACCTGAATAACGAATTTGACAATGGAAGAGAGTTAATGAGTCTTACATACACTTACTATAATAATTCAAACGGAATAGAAAAAGAATGAACAAATTAAAGAGGTGGATTCAAGTAAAACTTGCAGGGAACAGAGATATGCTTTAAGGGGAAGGGTTTAGAATTCCTACTGCCGAAACAACAAAAATAAATTTGAAAAAAAAATTTAAAAAAAGCAAACAAACCAATTCACTCAACGGATCAAACATTAATCTCGATCTTGATTGATTAGCAGAATTACCATTCCCACCATTTGCCCCAACATTGTTTTGTCCGTCAATATTTTGTTGTTGTGGGGGTGGAGAAGAAAATTCATTTTCTAATTTAAAATTGAGTAATCCAGATTCTAATTTTATTGCTGAAAAATTAAAAAAAATTTGAAAAAAAAATTTTTCTCGCTAACGTGAAATAGAAGAATATGAAGGTGAAGAACCAACATTATTAATTAAAGCTGTTGCTGTATTATTATTAGCCATGTTGTTTGCCGCAGATAATGAATAAGCAGAAGAAAAATTGTTGTTATTATTAGAATCATTTGTAGAAGAACAAGATTGTTGGTGAGAAAAATCCTTTAAAGAAAAATTTTTGTAATAAAAAATAAAATTGTACAAAAAAAGCGAGACATTAGTGATTGTTGATTTTTGGTAAATTTTTGGATATCTGAACCCGAACCAAGAAAAATGCTCGGTTCTTCGGAAAAATTCTAGGAATCGACATTCAAATCGACAATCGACATTCATTCTTAATCGACATAATCGACAGTTTTAGGCCAAAATTTATAAAAAATTAAAATCGAAATAGAAGTTTAATTTTCTGCCTACTGACTTAAAGCAGAATTAGACACGAAATACAACTTGACTTTTTGACCTTTTTCCATCCGTACTTAGAAAAACTGGAATTGGTTGGCAGATCCGGATATACGAAGATATCCAAGATATACCAACCATAATCCCATTTAATGTACCCCCTCCTCTCTCTCTTCCCTATAGAATAAGACCTAATGAGCTAGTGCCTAATATTGTTTCTTTAAAAAATTTAAAAAACCATAGAATTATTTCCATTATTATCAACAAATTTTGAACGAATATCCACAATTGGAGGGCCATTTGCTAAAGGAATATGTACATTATTCTCGTCATTTTCCACAGATTTTCCTTCACAATTATTTGAATTATTTAATCCAGAAGCAAAAAGTGAAGCCATTTTTTGTTGTAAATGAATTGCTGTATCCATATTACCTGTTGCTAATGCTGAGGCTAATGAATAAAATAAATTGGTGTTGGAATTGTTATTTGTTAAATTTTGATGATGTTGATGATTAAGTGAAGCTAAAGGGGAAAAAATTTTAAGTAAAAAAGTTTTCGATTTTTTGTCAATTTTTGAAATTGTAAAAGGTTTTGATTTTTTTGAAATTAAAAAAAAAATTTTCAAAAAAGGCTATAAAAATTTCGAAATTTTTCAACGTAGTTTCTAAAGAATTTAAAATTATTTCCAATTTTAAATTTAAAAAATTCAAATTAAACAAACTCTGATTTTCAATATTTCCTCCTCCTCCCCCACTTCCAACATTAGAAACAGCATTTGAAGTCATTAAAGTAGTCAAAGGTTGATTATTCATTGAATGAATTCCTCCACCATTACTTCCAACATTTACAACAACTCCTGGAGAAGAAGCGGAAGAACAAGACTGGTTTTGTTGTGATTGTTCTTGGACTAAAACAAGAGGAATATTAAACGATAAATAAATTACTTTTAAATTCCTAATTTAAAATATACAAAAAATTTTTTCTAAATAAATCAAAGAGTCTCATAAACTTTAAAAATTAAAATCAAAAAACCTTGATTTTCAACAGCAGCAATATTATTATTATTCACAACACCAGTAGCATTTAAAGGTAATATAGCTAAAGGTCCACTTCCTCCATTACCAACAATTCCATTTACAGCAGTTCCAGACGAAGACGAATTTGAAGAACACGATTGTCTTTGTTGTTGCTGCAATTGTGATTGTTGTGTTGCTTGTACTGCTTGAGCTTGTTGTTGTTGTGCTGCTAAACGTTGCATTGTTCTCCTTTGATTCGCAAACCAATTACAAATTTGTTGATAAGTTACTTTATTGTTTGCACGGCGATATTGGGAAGAATTTAAAATATTCATATAATTAATTAATTTTTGTCTTGAAGGATTTGAATCTGAGCGAAACCAACGTTCCAAACGAGGCTGTAGAAAAAAATTTTAAAAATCAATTTTTTGGCTCTGTTAGAGATTAGTAGTCCAATGAACTTTTAAGAATCAAACCAAAATTTTATAATCTAAAGGAGGAAATAAATGTCTAAATGAGAGGGGCGGGTAACAGACTCGGAAAGACGGACTCGTAAAATTCCATTGGACTCATGAATTAAAATAGATACAAAAAAATTTTTTAATTTTAAAAAAAATTACCAACCATTTCACTCAATGGACTAAAACGAGTTCCATAATTTGAACTTTAAAAACAAACTTAAAAAAAAATTCAACTCGAAAAAAAACCTCTTTTTATTATTTTCGTCTTGTTGTGTAGCCATCTGTTCTAGCCATTCATTAACTGCTTGCATTTGTTCACGGTTAGACCAAGCAGAACATTGTTGGTCGTTTTGTATGACGTTTTGAAGAATTTCCTTTTAAATTAAAATTTTTTTTTATAAAAACTTTGACCCCCAACCCACGGCTAGGGGGGGTCAGAAAATCTCCAAGGGTTCAGAAAAAATTTTTTTACCTTAACTTCCTGTCCATTTGATGTGGTCAAAATACGTGGTTGCTGTTCTATAGCAGTTTTGAGAAGTCTCTGTTTTAATTCTGTAAGGCACTGACCATTCGATTCGGATTGTGAACTTAAAAAAAAATTTTTTTTAATTTCAAAAAATTTTTCAAAAATTTTTTGCCCTTTTAAAATTTTATAAATAAAAAATTTATTTTAATCTTTTATCAAATTTTAAAATTAAATTAAAAGCCGATTTAATCCAAAAAAAATTTTTTATCTTAAAAATAAAGATAATTTTATATATTTTTTATATTAATCTTTTCTAATCTCTTTCCCCTTTAAGAATACATACATACAATATCTAAAAATTGTTTTCTTCAAAATTATTTTGAAATTATAGAAAAAAATTTTTTTGGCCAAACAAGTCCCCCCTGTTTTTTCCTTTCTTTACTTTGTCCTATCCAAAATACATCCATCCTTTTCTTATCAGGGCCAATATTTTAGAAAAGAAAGGTAAGGGAAGAAGATAAATAAATTGAAGATGGAGGGAGGAGGTTTAATGATTTTTTTTGGTGAAAGTAAAGAAAGGAAAGAAAGGAGAAAGTTTGCCTCGCTGATCCAAATTGATCCCCCGTCATTTTTTCTCCTATTTTCCCCATTTTTTCTCAAATTTTATAAGGTAAACGTAAATACAAATAAGGAAAGGATCACGCGATAAACAAGAAAAAAATTTTTTTGAAAAAATAAATAAAAGAGATATCGAAAAATATTATAAAAAAAAGAAGAGTTTGGAGAAAATTAGTCAAGTGGAAACTAATTTTAAAAAATTTGAAAAAAATTTCTTTTAAAAAATTCAAAAAAAAACTTACTGTTTAGCCAATATTTTAAGTGTCATATGTGTTGAAATTTCACGAAATAAATTTGATACCAACTCTTCAGGATTATCTGTTATCGCCTCAAAAGATATAGGCTTCCAACCGTTAATTTGTATGAGATTTTTTATTCTTAAAGGGGAAAGAGATTAGAAAAGATTAATATAAAAAATATATAAAATTATCTTTATTTTTAAGATAAAAAATTTTTTTTGGATTAAATCGGCTTTTAATTTAATTTTAAAATTTGATAAAAGATTAAAATAAATTTTTTATTTATAAAATTTTAAAAGGGCAAAAAATTTTTGAAAAATTTTTTGAAATTAAAAAAAATTTTTTTTTAAGTTCACAATCCGAATCGAATGGTCAGTGCCTTACAGAATTAAAACAGAGACTTCTCAAAACTGCTATAGAACAGCAACCACGTATTTTGACCACATCAAATGGACAGGAAGTTAAGGTAAAAAAATTTTTTCTGAACCCTTGGAGATTTTCTGACCCCCCCTAGCCGTGGGTTGGGGGTCAAAGTTTTTATAAAAAAAAATTTTAATTTAAAAGGAAATTCTTCAAAACGTCATACAAAACGACCAACAATGTTCTGCTTGGTCTAACCGTGAACAAATGCAAGCAGTTAATGAATGGCTAGAACAGATGGCTACACAACAAGACGAAAATAATAAAAAGAGGTTTTTTTTCGAGTTGAATTTTTTTTTAAGTTTGTTTTTAAAGTTCAAATTATGGAACTCGTTTTAGTCCATTGAGTGAAATGGTTGGTAATTTTTTTTAAAATTAAAAAATTTTTTTGTATCTATTTTAATTCATGAGTCCAATGGAATTTTACGAGTCCGTCTTTCCGAGTCTGTTACCCGCCCCTCTCATTTAGACATTTATTTCCTCCTTTAGATTATAAAATTTTGGTTTGATTCTTAAAAGTTCATTGGACTACTAATCTCTAACAGAGCCAAAAAATTGATTTTTAAAATTTTTTTCTACAGCCTCGTTTGGAACGTTGGTTTCGCTCAGATTCAAATCCTTCAAGACAAAAATTAATTAATTATATGAATATTTTAAATTCTTCCCAATATCGCCGTGCAAACAATAAAGTAACTTATCAACAAATTTGTAATTGGTTTGCGAATCAAAGGAGAACAATGCAACGTTTAGCAGCACAACAACAACAAGCTCAAGCAGTACAAGCAACACAACAATCACAATTGCAGCAACAACAAAGACAATCGTGTTCTTCAAATTCGTCTTCGTCTGGAACTGCTGTAAATGGAATTGTTGGTAATGGAGGAAGTGGACCTTTAGCTATATTACCTTTAAATGCTACTGGTGTTGTGAATAATAATAATATTGCTGCTGTTGAAAATCAAGGTTTTTTGATTTTAATTTTTAAAGTTTATGAGACTCTTTGATTTATTTAGAAAAAATTTTTTGTATATTTTAAATTAGGAATTTAAAAGTAATTTATTTATCGTTTAATATTCCTCTTGTTTTAGTCCAAGAACAATCACAACAAAACCAGTCTTGTTCTTCCGCTTCTTCTCCAGGAGTTGTTGTAAATGTTGGAAGTAATGGTGGAGGAATTCATTCAATGAATAATCAACCTTTGACTACTTTAATGACTTCAAATGCTGTTTCTAATGTTGGAAGTGGGGGAGGAGGAGGAAATATTGAAAATCAGAGTTTGTTTAATTTGAATTTTTTAAATTTAAAATTGGAAATAATTTTAAATTCTTTAGAAACTACGTTGAAAAATTTCGAAATTTTTATAGCCTTTTTTGAAAATTTTTTTTTTAATTTCAAAAAAATCAAAACCTTTTACAATTTCAAAAATTGACAAAAAATCGAAAACTTTTTTACTTAAAATTTTTTCCCCTTTAGCTTCACTTAATCATCAACATCATCAAAATTTAACAAATAACAATTCCAACACCAATTTATTTTATTCATTAGCCTCAGCATTAGCAACAGGTAATATGGATACAGCAATTCATTTACAACAAAAAATGGCTTCACTTTTTGCTTCTGGATTAAATAATTCAAATAATTGTGAAGGAAAATCTGTGGAAAATGACGAGAATAATGTACATATTCCTTTAGCAAATGGCCCTCCAATTGTGGATATTCGTTCAAAATTTGTTGATAATAATGGAAATAATTCTATGGTTTTTTAAATTTTTTAAAGAAACAATATTAGGCACTAGCTCATTAGGTCTTATTCTATAGGGAAGAGAGAGAGGAGGGGGTACATTAAATGGGATTATGGTTGGTATATCTTGGATATCTTCGTATATCCGGATCTGCCAACCAATTCCAGTTTTTCTAAGTACGGATGGAAAAAGGTCAAAAAGTCAAGTTGTATTTCGTGTCTAATTCTGCTTTAAGTCAGTAGGCAGAAAATTAAACTTCTATTTCGATTTTAATTTTTTATAAATTTTGGCCTAAAACTGTCGATTATGTCGATTAAGAATGAATGTCGATTGTCGATTTGAATGTCGATTCCTAGAATTTTTCCGAAGAACCGAGCATTTTTCTTGGTTCGGGTTCAGATATCCAAAAATTTACCAAAAATCAACAATCACTAATGTCTCGCTTTTTTTGTACAATTTTATTTTTTATTACAAAAATTTTTCTTTAAAGGATTTTTCTCACCAACAATCTTGTTCTTCTACAAATGATTCTAATAATAACAACAATTTTTCTTCTGCTTATTCATTATCTGCGGCAAACAACATGGCTAATAATAATACAGCAACAGCTTTAATTAATAATGTTGGTTCTTCACCTTCATATTCTTCTATTTCACGTTAGCGAGAAAAATTTTTTTTTCAAATTTTTTTTAATTTTTCAGCAATAAAATTAGAATCTGGATTACTCAATTTTAAATTAGAAAATGAATTTTCTTCTCCACCCCCACAACAACAAAATATTGACGGACAAAACAATGTTGGGGCAAATGGTGGGAATGGTAATTCTGCTAATCAATCAAGATCGAGATTAATGTTTGATCCGTTGAGTGAATTGGTTTGTTTGCTTTTTTTAAATTTTTTTTTCAAATTTATTTTTGTTGTTTCGGCAGTAGGAATTCTAAACCCTTCCCCTTAAAGCATATCTCTGTTCCCTGCAAGTTTTACTTGAATCCACCTCTTTAATTTGTTCATTCTTTTTCTATTCCGTTTGAATTATTATAGTAAGTGTATGTAAGACTCATTAACTCTCTTCCATTGTCAAATTCGTTATTCAGGTTTACTTTTTTGTTACATAATGGGTGAACAAGATTTTGGGGTTTCCTCCAAAAATTTAAGAAATGAGAGGAAAAATTAAAGTAGGGAAATTGGGTCCTTTACACTGTCCAGATAATAATTTTATTAAAAAAATTTAATTTTTTAAAGCCAATTCTTGAACGCTGGTTTGATGATAATCCACATCCAGGATGGTTACAAATTGAACAGGTTTTTATTTTTTTTTAATTTTTTTAATTTTTATTTTTTAATTTTCTTTTAGTACACTGACTATTTAAATTCAATGACTTATCGACAAAATTATCCACCAGTTTCTACACATAATGTAAAAATTTGGTTTAAAAATAGACGTGCTAAAACTAAAAGGTTTTTCTTAAAAAAAAATTTTTTTTAATTGGATAGCAATTCGATATCCTTTTGGGATTTTTTGTGGTAGAGTCTTCGGGTCGGGGTTTCTTGCCAAAGAAAAATCGTCGGGGTTTCGTGAGCCGGGCAAGCTATCCTATTTTTTAAATGATAAAAAGTTTATTTTTTTAATAAAGGTTGTTGAATAATTCTGAAGCTAGTGGTGTTGTTGGTGGTGGTTCTGCTGCCTAATTATTAAATTAAAAATTGGTGGTTATAAAAAATTAAAGGGAGAGATGATGTTGATATTTGGTCTTCAACTTGAAAAAATCAAAGTTTATATTTAAATTTATACTTTTTTAAATAATTATTATTTTGAGATACCTTTCAATTTTTTTTCAAAAATTCCATTTTTTTGACTTTCCCATTCCTTTTTTAATTGGTTCCTTAATTTAGATCATTTATGAGATTTTTTTCTTGGGTAATGAAGAATTCTTTTCTAAAATTTGGATTTAAATTGGATCTAAATTAAGGTGTATCTTCTCGCTATTTTTTTAAAAATATACAAATTAAAAATATTCACACATTTCTTCTAAATGTTGTAACTGAAATGGAAAAAAAAGTTAAAAATGTCTACTAACAGAAAATTTGAAAATTTAGTTACAACATTAATTACTTATTTTCTAAAGTGGCTTTGACCTCAATTTTTATATTACTTATCTATTTTTTTTTCAGGGCTTTGAGAGAGACCTTTTTATAAATTAAAAAATTATTATTTTTTAAACACAAGGTCTATAATTTTTGACAAAAATATTCAAATTTCCTCTCTTCTTTTATTAATTAAAAAAAATAAAAATTTATTTTTAGCCTTGCCCGATTTTTTTAAAATGTTATTTTATTTACTTAAATATATTTTAAATTTATTTTGTTTAATGAATTTTACTCACTTATGCTATATTTTAATTCTTATAAATATTATAAGAAAATTTTAAAAGAGAATCGATTTTATTAAAAATTTGTATATTTTTTTAACAATTTACTTTATAAATTAATTGACGTTTATTTTTAAATTTTTTTACTCTAGTGGTTTTCTTAAAAGACTTGAAAATTTGAATTAATTTTTAACGCTACTTCATTATGTTAATCGACAAAATGGAATGCATGAAAAGGGTCTGTTACAAAAACAGTACGCGACAAAATGGTACATAGGCAAACTTTTGTAAAACGGTCAAATATTCTTGTACCATTTTGTCAACATGTCTCTTTGTTGCCAATTTGTAATGTACCGTTTTGTCTGAACATCTCTTACTGTTAATTAGAGAAAAAGATTATGTAAAATATGTTGTGTCAGACAGTTAAAGTTTTGTTGTGCACTACAAATGACCAACATTACAAAAAATTCTAATTATATTTTGTGGCAAATTTTTTTG